GAACACAGAGTCCAACTTGATCTGGTTTCATCTGAACACAGAGTCCAACTTCATCTGGTTTATCTGGTTTCATCTGAACACAGAGTCCAACTTCCTCTGGTTTCATCTACAGCAGGTCGCACGAGACGTTACACCGAGAGCGGTGTAGTAGCTGAACATTAGCTTTTGGCTAATTTAGGCAACTTACTAATAATCGGTGTGCACGTTTTCTTCCACAGGGGCACCACCAAGGGGGGGGCTAGGTAGGAAAATAGCCACTCATAAAACAAATTGTGCCCCCTCCCACCACCGGCGCCAGTGAGTTTTATCTCGAGTCCTAAGCTTTGCGTGGTGAGCATTTTTAATTTCCCCAAACTTTATAAGATCAACAGAACGTCAAACATAAAAACGAGCCTCGTTTTCGATCAGGAGTTACAAACTTTTTATTTTATTTCAAACTGAACGTTAAACTTTAACTCTTGCCCCCCTTTAATAAGGACAACCGGTCTAAAACCATCGTCCTCGACATCAGGAAACAGGTTTTATGCATTTTTTTTAAATATATAAATACAAATTTAAGAGATAAGTTAACGAGTGATTGTTCTTTATATCAACTGTAAGTAAAAATAAAAGTCAAGTACCAAAGTTCACCACTTTGGTGTTTTGGACCACTTTGGCATGGCTGATGGGGGAGAGGGCGGCCCCCGGAGGCCATCTCATCACCAGCAAACTGGTTTTGTTTCCACTCTGGGATTGAGCCGTTTGTGGGATTCAGTTTGGTTTGCTGGCTCGGACTGAAGAAGTCCTTCAGATGAAAGACGAAGTGTCTCAGCAACAAAAGAAACCGTCCAGATGACCTGACTGAACATCGTTGGACAACTCGAGCAGGTGATCAAAAGGTGATTGTTGAAAAAAAACTAAACAACGAAAAGCTCCTGAAATTCTGCTCTGGCTTTGGGTGTGCCACCCCAGGATTTTCAGTGGCCCCCCCACAAAAATATTCTGGAGACGCCACTGTCCAACTGCGTCGAGGTTTTCTGCAGACCTGAGTTGGAACGAGCTGCCGTCACCTGGAACCGGTCGGCCCGTTCTTCTCGACATCAAGGCCTGGTTCCGTCTACACACCTGCACATCTGTGGACATTTTCTCTTTTTGGACCGTTCTCTTGAAACTCTAGAGATGGCTGAACGTGAAAGTACATCGGCAGTTTCTGAAATACTCGGATCAACAGCCAGGCCGTGGTCACATTCACCTAAATCTCGTTTTCCTCGTCCAGATGCTCAGTTTGAACTTCAAGCTGCCTACAAGCATCAAGTTGCTGCCATGTGATTGGCTGATAAGAAATTTGAGTCATTTCAACGATTAAATGTAATAAAGTGTGTGGCGAGCGTAAACAGTGCAGCTCTGCACCCGATGAAGCTGCTTTGCTGTACAGTCCAGAGAAAACGGGCAAACTCATATTTATTTGAACTTTACAACAGAATGTGTATAAATACTTCACAGACAGTAAGTTTACCTTTATCGGGATGATTCAGGACCATGATCCTCCGATGCGCCTCGCGTACTTTAGCCTTTGTGGCAGCTGGGCTGAAGACGACACGAACAGAAAGGATCGTCATTTAGTCTCACGGGTCCACGCAAGACGAAGTCACGTGTCCTACCTGATGCCGAGGATCAGGCTCGCCTCTCGCCTGGACATCTTCTGCTCAAAGCCTCCTTTGTAATACGAGGAGAACGCCTGAGGTGGCAGAAAGAAGAGTTTTGATCATGTGAGCAGCTGCAGTCACCTCACGAAGCTTTCTCCGTGTAAATCTATAGACTTTACACATCTCTCAGAGTTAGTAACTCACTGATGAGGGCATCTTTTTGACCGTTTCAGAGAAAACCTGTCCGAGGGGCTTCCAGAGGTGGAAGGCATAACGACCTGAGGGTCAGACACGAGAAAAATCAGCCTCTGTGAAACCAAAGGTCTCAAAATACAAAACAAAGCACAGAAAAAGTTAATAAAGTACAAAATTAAACACTGGATCAATAAGATGCAACCCCCAGCAAAAAGGATGAACCAGCACTGTTGGAGGATGCTCCCTTAATCGTTTGAGAATAAAGAAAATTAATCACAAACTTTACACAGAAGTGCAGTTTTAAAACAAACACCTGCATCGGATTAAATCTGTTCATAAGTCTTCAGCTAAAACACCTGCTCACATGTTGTTGACGTGGTGCACAAAGCAGACGGACACGAGTCGTGACTCCAACAAAGGAGAGGATTTGGAAACTTCTCAAGAAGGTGAAGCATCACCAGATGTTGTACCAGATGTTGGTTGTTTCCAGTAGTGACGGCAAAGACGGGCAAACAAACCAACTGGAACAATTGTTGCAGAAAAAGATTTGATCTTATGGAACGTTCACAACGCCCATACAGTTATGATGCCTGGGGTTTCCTGAGATATCCCCTAGTTCTACTGCTATAGGCTTAGACTGCTGGAGGACCAACTGACCACATGACCTCTCTCTGCTGCTGTTTTACTTGCTCTACTCTTCCTGTCTGTATCTGTAATTATTTCTATATTAACATATTTTTTTGTCTTTCCTCCTATAGAAAGTACACCTGGACTATAGAAAGTACACTTGGACTATAGAAAGTACACCTGGACTATAGAAAGTACACCTGGACTATAGAAAGTACACCTGGACTATAGAAAGTACACCTGGAC